TTGGGTGGCAACAGTTTGAAAAGTGAAACGGATATTTATAGTGAACCAACGCAATTTCGCAAAAGAAAAACAAGAGTCCTTCAGGGACAAAGCCCCTTTGGACTCAAAAGGGGAGGGAAGAAAAGGGACGGAACAATCTCCACGCTTATCCGCTTAAAAAAGCGACTTTTTTAGAAATTTTAAACGGCCAATTTACTTGTAAATTTTAAATGATCAGTTTTCGACTTTAAAACCTTCATAGATCATAGACTATTCCAGCTTTCATGAGCTGTGTTTTAATAAATGCCAATGGAACTTGATTAAGTTTCAAAGCCTGTGAAAGTAAAGGAATTTCTCTTCGATGCTGCTCGACTTCTGTACAAGTATTAATACGAAACAATCGATTATAAATGATATTTCCTATTACATTTTTGGAGATGTTAATGTTCCAATTAATAAGTTTAACAAAAGAAAAGTTGAAATCTTTTGTTATGACGCCTCACTTGCTGGTGATGACCTTTGATTTGTTTTGATCTTTGCTTATGAAATTTTTACCACATTATGAAACTCATTCCTAAATCTAGCAGGAGGAATATAGGCGAGCGTGTGAGAAGCAATTCATAGTATGTATAAATTTTGCAGTTTTTCCGTAAATTTGTCTAGTTTAGCTAATTTTGGCTCTTTGACTGACAAATTGTCAGTTTAAAATTCCTGAAAAAGTCGTTTTTGTAAGAATAAAGAATAACAATAAAGACTGTTGCTCTTTTTTAACAAGGTTTTCCTTTTTCTTTGCTTTTTCTAGAATTTAGTTTTAGTTCCTTTTATCTATTTGATAATACAGTCTTTCTTTCAGCTACTTTTTCTGCTGATATTATTTGCCGAGATTAAAAATCGCCAATAGTAACCCGCAACTGTATTCCTACGACTATTCTTTTATTGCAACTTGCAACGTGTAAAGATCATTTTTCGAAGATTTTCAGCATAATAGGTACAACTCCAGTAAGTTGCTTTCATTTATTATTTTTGTATGTAGCTGCGAATCTACCAGTTAAATATAAGTGTAATTGAAGGAATTCCATATTGTATTATATCACAAAATTTTTTTACTTGTTTACACGTTTTCGTTTATAGAGTTTCGGTACACACTTTTTACATTTTGGTATAATTTATGCATTACTTTTATTTCTTTTTGAATAATAAGAAACTTGGCAAAATTGTTATGTAGGGAAGACGTATTTAATTTCCAGTGGTAAAATTAATTTCATTTGAATAGAAAAATAACTAGTTTTGCTAGAAAAAGGAGCTATATCGTTGATGAACTCTTTCTCCTCTTGAGAAAGTTTTGAGTCTGATATGGATAATGCAACTTTTTCCTTACTGTATTTATTATTGTACAGTTTTGGCTTTTACAAACTACTTTTCCAACTGAGCCCAAGTTAACTTCCAACTGAGCCCAAGCTAACTAACCCCAATAAACTTTTAAAATTTTTTAATTAATTTTAAAATTTGATTCTATTTCTCCTTTTTAGATCAACCTTTGCCTGTTTAGTTTTAATTTAAATATGTAAATAATAATTATATCTATTATTTAAGAAAATATTATACACATTGTAAATGACCTAAACAAAGCGTTTAATTCGAATACCGCAAAAATTCACAAAGCCCGTTAATTTTAAATTCTGGCATCACATTCAGGGGTCGTATGCACTGAAGAACGAAATGTTTGACGTCTATTTAGAATTTTTTCCAACTGGAAGACAAAGAATCAGGAATATGCTCCTCGGGTTTCGAACTTCGGACCTTCTGACTGGTAACCGAGCCCACCAGCGGTCGAGCGTTAAAGTCGCTGAACACTGGTAGTTCGGTCCGAGGTTCGAATCCCGCGAAAGGGCTGGCTACATGGGCGCTTTCGTGGTTTTCCCTATGTGTAACGTGTATACGAGCCAGTTTCTCTTAGAAAGTCTTCCACGAAGGCATCCCTTCCCTTAGGCAGATAGCCCTCGAGGCTTTGATCACACACACACACACACTGACTGGTAACCGTGCTTTCTTAATACACCACGATATGCATATGATAAGGAGAAAATAAATTCCTGTTTGCATTTGCACTTAAACTAAAATATCAATTTAGAAAAATATTTCTGTTTTTAATAGATTATATTAAAGCATTTATTTATATTAAAGCATATTGTTAAGCATTTATTTCTATGCATATTATTATTAGAAGTATTAACCAATGTAATTTTGTTTCAAAGAATACATCTCATACAAAAAATCGTACAGAATTCATTCGTGTTTAAAAACAAACCTTAGTCATATAAGTAACTAATTAACTTGTGATATTATTTGCTTAAATTAAAAATAAAAATACTTGCAATTCAAGACACCTTTTGTATGGTTGTTATTTTAAGCCTCTAAATTAACAAAACTTCGTAAGAATATTAATAACGTATTTGCAATATTTGAAATCATATAAATAATTTATATGTGTATTCTCTCGGAATATCAATTGCAATAAAATTATAAGTTAAAGAATGTTAAATACTAAAAATTGTAAATGAATATCACTGATGGGATTTCAGGAACAAAGAACCAACCTTGAATAATTCTGATACGTTTATTAATCGAACCTTGAAGGAAAGTTGAAAATGACATCAAAAATAGCAAATTTTGAACTGAAATTCCGCTTTCGAATTTTTAGCAAGATAATAAAAAATCGTGTTTCATTTTTTTTAATAATGAGTAGGAAAGGTCTCCTAAATATAAATATAAAGACCAGGAGACCATATAAAATGTTACATTTTGTATTTTATACAAAATCAATTTTAAAACAAAATTTTTATGAGTGAATATATGCGTCATTAAAAAACTTCTCTGTTATTGGGATATGTCTAAACTCTCTAAATTCTATGACTTTATATGTCTAAACTTTTATGTTTATACATTTAAACTCTATTTTGATTTGAGTATTTCCCCTTTTCATTCTAAAAATTGTATCTGCTTATACAAAAACTCTCTAAACTCCGTCATTTCTGAATTCTCATATTCTCTAAATTGAGTCTCTCGGACAAACCATCTGTGTCATATGATTCTTATATAAAGTTTATGACACGGAAGCTGAAATTCAAGCAGCCAGTCAGAACGAAGTAAAAATCAGCGTTTGCCAAAATTTCCATCTTGAACATTCGCGTTCTATTTTTATTGCTAGCTAGACAGTAGCTCCTTTTTTAAAAAATGCAAAAAAGCGCCTGTCCAAACAGTTGTTGTTTGTGCCACTTTACTATGTGTATCGGCTACAAATATTTGTCAGCGAGAATCAAGTGATATTAAAATATGTCATTACGAGTACAATGGTCGGCCTTGACGAGTTTTATGTCTCGGTTTCATGCCGTAAGCTGTGTGACTCCGTAAAATCATATTCTCCGTTGTGCTGTAAACTTTTAAATGAATTCATCGTTAGTAGCTTCATTATTTGGTATTCAGGCTATTCAGGAAAGGAAATACTACAAAAATGTCCTTAAAATGTTATGCGAGTATAAGCTCATAATATCATGCATTCTTATTTAAAATGAAGGTGCTACTTTGGTAGACGGTTGCACGGGTTTTGGCGATTTTTCTTTTGGCGAGTAATACAACTTATGGTAAACCCATTGCTGGATAAGTTATTTATGGTAACCGATACTTTGTTGTCATTTTATTAAAAAAATAATGCGTTTTATTATGCATAACTTCCGTGTTTTAAATATTATTTATGGCTTCTAAATATTAAAAATCAATTTAATTTTACATTTTTATTTGAAATAAAAATTTTGTTGTTTATAATATTTTATATAATTTTATGCTGTTGATGATGTAATCAATGACGTCATCTTACTTAAAAAGTAATTGGTTTTATTAATATCTATAAATTTAATCTAATGTTTTAAACATTATTTGTGGCTGTTAAATATTAAAATACAATTTATTTTTGCATTTGTTTTAAAAATGATTTTATTATGAATGTTTATTTAAATAATTTTAATTCTATGCGTGATGTAATCAGCTCCCTGATTGGTTACTGAATATTTGTGCATTACCGCGCCATTTTAAAATTTTATTATTCATCTCTTCGAATTCGTCAGATTTCAAATGGAATGGATATCTTCGTTTCGAGGATTAATGTTGTTATTGGTAATTACCAAGAATTATTGGTATTGGAATAAAAAAATTGCTCTTTGAGACCTTATTTTGGCCAAGCTGTCTTTCCTAATCAAAGATTTATTTATAAATTGTTAATAGCGTCAGAGGAAATTTATTTTAAATTTTTGGAGGAAATGACTACTTCTTCAATGAAGTGCGAGATATGTGGATAACAGATGAAGATGGTTAAAAGAGCCGATTCAATTATTATTTCGATTTTTTTTGTTGGTACTTACCAATAAACAAGAGGTTAAATTACTCAAAAAAATGTAAGTACATATTTTTCTATTACTTTAAAATTGTATACTATTTTTTTGTTAAAAAAATTAATAGACTATTTTCAAAAATTGCTGAGATAATTATTGTCACATATGTTTTAATGTTAATTATATTTTATATAACGTATTTTAAAGTATTTGAATTTAATAATATTCTAATTCTTTTAAATGTTGGTAGGATGGTTTTTAATTCGATATTCAATTTCAGTAATATTTTAATCTAATTAAACGTTGGCACAATGTTTTTATAGCGGTGTTTTTATTCTCTTTTTTGCTATATGAAAGTAATAATAGCCTTACTTTAGTATTTTATACTCATAGTAAATGTATTTATTTACACTTGGCTGCCGTCTTAAAAAACGACATTTTCGACAAAAAATTAATCCATTACTTTTAACGATATTTATTTTTTTTTAAGTTTCGAATACTTTACTATGCGTAAAAACAGCGTTTTTCAAGATGGCTGACGATTGTAAAAATCGAGCCAACAATTGCGCCAACGTAAATCGCCAAAAATCCGTGCAACCAAAGTAGCACCAAAATGAATACACTAAAAGCACTCACCTGCTATCATGTGAGCGTAGGAAACAAGATGGACCCCTAGTCTTCGCAGTGGACCTTTTTGGAACAGGCTGAGGACGAGGATGACAGCAGCACATCCTTGAAGAACGCACCCTGTTCCGTACAAGAGACAAGTGCCTTGCCAAGCCAGGGATGGGAACCTCGTGACAGCAAAGTGATGACAATGGAAGACCGTCTGTCTAAAATCTCTGTAGCATACGTTGAACATCCCCAGCGTGTAGATGAGAGCTGTTCTGTCGTACCTGAGGATGGTCAGCTCGCTGCCGGAAAGGGTGGTGTTCTCTCGGACGAACCATTCGGTTTCGACGAAGCCGATTGTGCACGTGAAGGCCACAAGTGTGGACAACAGTATCCACAAAGCGGTTACTGTCCAAGAGACCTTGAAAGAGAATTCATTCGCAGCCAGGACTTTGTGGTCGATGAAGTGTTTGGTGAGAGAGCACCGCAAGGAACGGAGCATGACGTAATCTTCTGAAGATATCACGGAGGGCTCCATTGAAAGATAGTTCGCATTTCTTTTGGTAGTCGTTCTCAGGAACAGCTGTCTCTGGAATCTGATTTTAGAACTAGTAGTTTAAAGATTTTAATGGTGAAGTCATATTTTCTTATTGCCGTTTTAAAATACCACAGATTTTAACTAGTACGTGGCTTTTGACATATATAATGTACTCTTCACGTGGAAATTTTATAAAAGTGCTACCATGAAACATTTAAACACGTGATAACAGCTGTCTTTATTATGTTGTATATCTGACACTTTGAAGTCAAAAGGTTTGTCACTGTCGTTTATGAGAATACTGATATTAAATGTAAAAGTAATAAACCTTTTCTCCTTAGTTTACTTTTCCCTTAGTACTAGTTTAAATACAAAATAGACTTTCTTATTGATTGCATTTTAACGCTTAAAATTAAGCATGAAGAATTTCAAAAATTATAAATACGCTTATTATTTTTCATATAATCGCAGAAATTATCACCAGCACATTGCTTAATAATCATACACTGTCCTCGCTGGTTATATACTGCTAATTAGAATCAAGTACAAAACACATCATAGTTTATCATAGGTATACTGTTCTTAGAGCTCCTACAAAGATTTTAAAGTGTGAAAATTTGCCCGGACTGTCGTTAGCATACTATTTCCTGTTTGAATATATAATAAATACACTGTTTCTCATGTTAAAGTATAAAAAACATACAAGTTCTCATAGTACTTCTTGAGTTAATATAGAAACCACTATTCTTATAGATCTTTCGTTATACTGTTAACATCAAGTATGAAAAATCCTGAAGGTGTTCAGCAATAAACTTTTGTTTTTAATTTCAGTACACAGTATACTGTTTGTCTAGGCTTCCATAAAATATTAAGATCAGATATGAAACACCGATGGAAACGGCGTACTTACCTGAGTCGTATTTTTAAGCTTCAGAGTTAAATCCTAAAAACAGGCATTACACAATAATTTTCGATTTAATTTATGATGTTCATTTCTCCGATGGTGTTCCATATTCATGAAGACGTTCACGTGAGGTAAGAAACACTGATGCAAGTTTTGTTTTTTACTTCAAAATTGCTGCAAAGTAAATCATTTAGTTACACATACATACATATATCTAAAAAGCGAAATCTTCCTTTAAAAAGAGTTATAGTTGATATTTTTGTCACGAGAAACAAATTAAATCGTCCAATTTGATGACTGTCATTCTTATAAAATAACTGATAGAGGTACTTGCTCCTTTTGTCACCAACACTTAAATTTTATGGCAACTCGTAAGGTCTGTTACATCCATCACACGTTTCCCCGCTTCATCTAAAGCTTCACGAACATTTAGATATTACGATTGAATACTAAATAATTAAAATTTCTTGCTTTGCTCTAACTTCAACGACGTTAAGAAGCGTCATTGCAATTATGTAACATTTTATGTAACAGAAAAGACTTTTTCACGTTTTCTAGGCTACAGAACAAAGCGACGCAGCATTTCTTTTCGACATCGTTAACGAGCAGTTGGATACGAATTCCAACAAGATCTCTAATCCTACTAATTTCGCATAATTATGTTCTAGAGTAAGAATGGATTTGCGCACTCGGCGAGTCGCCGGTAATGGCTAGTTACTTTATCCTGCGTTAATGAGCAATTATTGCACCTTAGAAATAACCAAAGGTCAAAATAACGATGCAGTTGTTGGAGATATGTTGCGGATATGTAAGACTAAGGGGAATTTTGAAACAGCTCACTTTGCAGTTGGCGCAATAACACTAAATGAATCCCAATTAAATGTAGCTAGACTAGAATGTCTTTATTAAATTATTACAGATGAAGTTACTGTAAAAATGTATTTTTATAGTATAGTTAGAATTTAAAAAGAAAGAATAAGAATTGATTCTTTAAGCTTAAATTTCATTTCCAAGAATATTTAGAACAATTTAATTCTGATTAGTTATCCTTCCCTATTATTAATTCAACGGGAATTAATTTTATGTTATTAAATCGAAAAATTGAGCAGCATTAATTTGCCTTAATTCTTTAAAATAAAAACGTACTCTATAGCAATTTTTTTAAAGTTTTGCCAATAACTTTTATGCTAATATTTTGTAACATGCTCTAAAAGCAACATCACCAACGGAAGAGCACTTTCATAAGTTTATAATAAGAAATGAATGCATTTATAACAAATATTTATGCATTTTAATCCCTTTTAAAGAGTTAAGTAAAATACGCATTTTAAAATTTCTGAATAATTAGTAGATTTCATACAAAACTCTATAAGAAAGGCTTTTAAATAATAAGTAAGTTTCGTTTATATGATACCTGTAAAATTAAATTGCTAAATGATTAATAAATTTGATACGACGTCTTTTAAAATAATGGGGTCAAATCTGCAAAATATCATGCATGGTATAATTTTGAATTCCATCAATAAAAACTGTTTCGCTGACTGACATTTAAACTTCTTTCATGCTTAAATGTTTTATAAGTTTACAATTCAACAATGTCCATAGGAATTTGGAAAATTCTGTGAAGAAAATTAAAGCAAATTGGAAATATTTCTCACTGAAAAATTATTTTACGGGAGCATGCCAATTATTGATTGTGATATTATTTTAAGCCCATCAAACCTTAAATTTATCAGTTTTTAAGAACTTTTGTATACTAACGATTCCGAAATGTGCATATGAAACTCTGCCGAGTCTCCAAAAATATAAAACGCGTATCTCAAACTTTGCTTTTTTTTTTCAGGATACACTTTATGATGAAATTTCGTACCTCTCAGGCAATTTTAATTTTATACATTTACAATTCGTTAGCGTTCGTCGAAACATTATATCAATCTACGAAGCAGTCAAGTACAAAGAACATTTTTGGAATATTTAAGGTTAAAACGGGCTCAAAATTGAGAAAAATGTATCAAATCTAATAAATATTTCTATTTAGATTGAAAACTATGGGTGGGATTGAAAGATAATGTTTCACCTCAGAATAATGTAAACTACATCGGTAATATGAATGTCCTAAAATGCAAAGACGAAAAAACATTAAAACGTTTTCATCGATAAACAAATTCTAATACAATTCATACCTGTTAATCTTTAACGAAATTTTATCCTAACTTACATCTCTCTAAAACGTTTTGCAATTTTGATTCATCAAATATGCACAAATTTCACTTTCTAAATTCCCAAAATGAAACACTACCAACTTCTCTCGTAAATAGGTAATCAGGTACGTAACTCTATCATCACCTTTGTGAGTTTCAGAAAAAATGTACTTCCTAATGGCGAGAATTTCTTCGCTTAAATAGGTATATTTCTTTAGAATTTCCAGTATTTCGAAGCGCAAGTGGTATTCAAAAACGATTCACGTGAAGATCGGGTTTTCAGCTGCCCGTTGCCATCGCGTTATACTCCCAATCGCTCTTACGAACCTCATTGAGAGAAGTTTTTCCCGACGATGCTTCATATTATCACTGATGTAGATTTGGCTGTGTTGGCGACAAAGCTGAGCTCACCAATTCAGCCAACATCCATTTTCTTGACCGCATTTCTCATAGGGAATGGGAAGAAGGCGATTTGGCGTAGAGTAGCACCCCAGACATCTGAATAACAGAGATCGTACCCCAACCGATTTTCGGAAAAAATGAATAATTGGGTTATCCTTTTTCCACGATTAAAGGTATTTTTTATTTTGATACAAGAGATGATATTTTTGTTTATCGCGAGTTATTTCCACAAAGTGTATATATTAAGCAATATTTTTAATTACATAAAATATAACAACAGGTTTAGTTATAGATGGCATATTAACTAAACAAAGGAATTACTTTTTTTCATATTATCGCTGATTTGATCCCTCTATAAGAAAGGCTTTTAAATAATAAGTAAGTTTCCTTTATATGATACCTGTAAAATTAAATTGCTAAATGATTAATAAATTTGATACGACGTTTTTGATTAATAAATTTGATATTTTTTCTCTGAAGTATCAAAAAAAGTGCTTGAAAAACAAACTTAGTTTGCAAACTTCAGATTACAGTCTAGGAGCTCAGAGAGAAATTTATCTCTGAAACCTTTTTAATATTAAAAAGTATAAAAAAGTTCATAAAACAAAAATTCATGCAAATATTTCATTTCTCTACTTGAATAAAAATATTTCAACTCAGAAAATTTAAATCTTTACAGTGGAATAAAACGAAAATCTTATTTCAAAATTTAAAAAAATTTGGTTTCGCATTTCCTTTTCATTCCGTTTTTGGCCGTAAAACGGAATGAAAAGAAAAGTACCAAATTATAAAAAATTGCCATGTTTGGAAACAAAATTTTAAAAAAATGCTTCCGTAGGACATAATAATTTGTACAATTACTAACAAATTTAATCATTCCTGTGTGATTGTATTTTGAATATGCACAATTGTCTGCATAAAATGTAAAGATAGAAAATTCAAGTCGAATATTCATGCGTTTTTTAATTTGTGAACTAACTATATTACTTTTCGTTTAGAAAAGAAATGCAGAAACCAAACTGAAAATCTTTTCCAATTGAGTTTTAATTTTATTCATTTGGGAAGACTAAGATTTAGAAACTGACAACAGTAAATAATAATTTTATTCAAGAAAGATAAATATTTGTTTGCTTTTTTAATGTATTTTTAAATTCTTTCCTATTTCTTAATATTTTAAAATATTAAACGATTATTGCCGGGATTTCTTCGATTTATTGTATTTAAGTTTGTTTGCAGACTGAAAATAGTTCTGTTACACCTCAAAGAAAGAATTTTTTTGGACTTAGCATGTAAAGTCACGTCCAGACAAAACGCTTTCCATAGATAAGATCATGACTCACGAGGAAACATGCGGAACAATGAAGAACGGAACAGAAGTGTTGCCACTGTACTCAGTATAAAATCTTTATTTTACTTTCATTTTTCATGCTCTCTTACTTCGGAATAATCCTTGTTCAGAATTTTACCATTTCATAAAACATGAGGCTTTTAGTTTATTTTTCAAATTTAATAAATATATATTTTTGATGAACAAAATGAACGATATAAAGCAAGAAACGAATCGCTATAATTTAAAGCTGTTTTACTCCTTTATGAAAATATCTAATTGATGTATATTTAAATGTATTTAATTTGTCACATTTACAATTGATAATTTTATGAGCATCTGCAACTTTGTTAAAATTAAAGATCTTGCTATCCTCCGTATGTTAAGTAATAGATACGGAATTATTTTTTCTAACTATTTGGATGTTTATATTTTCATAGTTTTTAAATTTTTAATTGCAAGTTCTTTAAAATATTAGATTATAAAATGAAATTTTTAAACTGAAGTTTCTTTCTTCTATCGAAGGAGAAAGCTGACGCATTATTATTGTTGCGTGTGTACATGTTCGTAATATTGGGTTGGCAACTAAGTAATTGCGGATTTCACTCATACATGGCTTCAGTCGAATTTTTAGGGTTGCAGACGTAGTACAAATGTAAAACACATTTTGTTATTTGATAGTTGGCAATTCAGCTGTCAATCAGTAAAAAACGTTGTTTGATAGGTTGCGTAGTTTTTGTTTGTCTTTCGTTGAAAAATGGAAAATCAAAAGGAACATTTTCGTCAAATTTGGTTTTTTTTTTTTTCCGCAAAAGAAAAAAACGCATCTCAAGCTCATAAAAGGTTATGTGCTGTTTATGGTGACGAAGCCTTAAAAGAAAGGCAGTGTCAAAATTGGTTTGCCAAATTTCGTTCTGGTGATTTTTCACTCAAAGATGAAAAACGCTCTGGTCGTCCAGTTGAAGTTGACCTAATCAAAGCAATAATCAATTCGGATCGTCACAGTACAGCACGTGAGATTGCAGAGAAGCTTCATGTATCACATACATGCATTAAAAATCACTTAAAACAACTTGGATATGTTCAAAAACTCGATACATGGGTTCCTCACGAACTGAAAGAAACGCATTTAACGCAACGCATTAACAGCTGCGATTTGCTAAAGAAACGTAATGAAAATGATCCATAGTCCTGACCTTGCACCATCTGATTACTTTTAGTTTCGATCTTTACAAAACTCCTTGAATAGTAAAAATTTCAATAATGATGATGATGTCAAATCGTACCTGATTCAGTTTTTTGCTAATAAAAACCAGAAGGATTATGATGCTGCCTGAAAGATGGCAAAAGGGCATTGATCAAAATGGGCAATACATTACAGAATAGTTATTTAGTTCCATGAAAAAATTGTTTTTGATTTTCTAAAAAACATCCGCAATTACTTAGTTGCCAACCCAATAGATTGAATGCACAAGTCCGATAAAAAGTTAACAAAATTTATTCTTATTACAAGAAATATAACAAAATGCCGGAATTTTCCTCAGAGATATTCTTACAAGTGCTTATAATATCTGGCACTAATAATCAGTAGAACGCAAATACGTTAAATAGAACGCAATAGAACAAGTAGCTATACTTTAAGCTACTAAAATAGTTAAAATACAACGCAGTTCAAAGAGGAAACTAATAACAGATATCTCCGTTCGCGCGGAACTAAAACAAATCGCAATAACAGTAACTAAGCAAATCAGTTGAGATGTCTCTCTCCGGCTTTCTATAGCTTTTAATCGGTCGCAAGAAATTTCTGGTAATTTCTTTCCTTCTCGAGATTTCTGGAAAGTTAAAGAGTAAAATTACGGTTACAGCTAAAATATTAGTCAATTACATTTATTTATATTAAATATAAATTATCGAGATAAACTTTTATTCAATGTTAAAAGCACGTGCTCCTGTGTTTTTTTACCTTTCTGGCATAGCTTTCTAGTAAAACTCTTCTCGCTCTGCACTGCACGGGAAAATAAAACAATTTTAATTATAATTCTACTAGCATTAGCTATCTAAATACAAAATTCGTAACATTATTTTCATATAATTATAAGGAATAGTTGCATTGTGGTAACCGTAAATAATATGAGTTATGGAATTATATAATTTGCGTTAGGATAGTTATTTTAGTTATCAGGACTCATATTTCTTTTGATTTGCGTTGGAAACATGAATGGTCCTGAATCGGAACAGGGAGCTTACTCAAGCTATGTTCAAGGAAGTGTGAAGTAGACAACACAAGCAGAAAGGGTACACGAAACCCTTTATTTTCTGTATCGGTATTTCCGAAACTTCGGAATACAGAGACCAACCACTTGTGGTCTGAACGTAAGAATATAAAAACTACTAACTAAAACTCTAACTAAAAGCTAACTTTGAATTAGTATACAAATGCCTAGCACTAAGACTGGCCTTGTATTTAAAGAAAGGTTCGTATGTAGTACGCCGAGCTGCTGAAACTACGATACGTTTGCAAATATCAAGAGGGCTAAACCTCTGGCCTTAAAGGCAACCAGCAACAGAGTGAAAACTCGTAAAACTACAGTGGCAAGCGGCTTGCTTCCTAAAACTCCTTCTCTCTCTCGCTTGGCAAAAAGCCACAACTTAAATACTTGGCGTTAGCAAGACAATTTGCATAAACAATTTAAAGCATTTAATCTGGTCGGAAGTAGAAAATAAGAAGTGATAGCACAGTTTTAAAATAAAATAAACGTTAGTAAAACTTAGAATCCTTACATAGTTAGCTTAGTAACTAAATAGGATGTGCAGTGATCCTGTCTAAAAATATATACAGAACTTCTCACAGAAATCTATACAGAGAAGATCTATACAGAGAAATCTATACAGACCGGTCACTGAAATTGAATTTTAGCTTGAGTCAGTGAAAATCAGTTCTTGTAAGTGCGATATCTTTGAAACCACGAACTTTTATCTTTCAGTGGACCTCGCATCCTACACATGAAAACGCTTCCATCCCCCCTTCCGCCTGCTCACTACCCCACTCCATCATGTCCTCTTTTGTTGTGTGTTCTTTTATTGTCATTTCCTTTCGCAACAAGTTCCCTTCAGTGGGTGAGGTAATGGTCCTTTTAAGGAAGGAATCTCACCAACAATAACAGGAAAACACATTGAAGAGAGCTTCCTTTTGAACAAGTTTGGGAATCCCGTTTTGAAAATCGTTGTTGGGTCTTTTAAAAAGCCAACATGGATTTGTGGATAGAAATAAAATGGGTCTTTGATGTTGCTAGTAGCCAATTCTTGATTTAGAAGTGGTGGGATGTTAAAAGATGATAGGAAGAGTAATCTCCATTTGCCTAGTCAGACCATGAATCGCTATCGTTATTTATTTGCAGACTACTATATATTGTGGGATTATAAAAGAAGCAATAGTATTTTTCCGTATGAGATTTATACAGTTCAACGGATTAAATCTATATTAAATTATCTCATAAGAAGGGCTATTAATTTCGTTTTGGCATTTTGCGTCGAAAACTTTAAAACTTCCGTTTCACTTTTCAAATTGTTGCCACCA